TCTTAGCTATTGTGAATAACGCCGCAATGAACATAGGGGTACATATATATTTTTTGGATTAATGTCTTGGGATTTTTTGGATAGATACCTAAGAGTGGGATTGCTGGGTCGTAAGGTAGTTCCATTTTCAGATTTTTGAGTTGCCTCCATACTGGGAAATCTGTCACTCTTAACCAAAAACACCCCAATCCACAAGCAGTTATAATTGAGCTTCTTTATCTTATGATACATGTCTGATATAATACTGTGCTATTAATCACACCATTGTTCTATGTGCATCTACCAGTAACTAGGTTCAGTTTTTTCACAGCCATCATGTGTTACTCAAATCTTTTCAACCCTAGCCGGCCTGACTTGTGAAACCTTTGCGAAACTGAACTTCTCTGTAAATGTTAAAATTATCTTGTTTCAGTAATATAAAGACTATAGTCAAGGACCCTATGGCCCTGCCATGGGGCCTGTCAAATTCTTGTGCCTCACTAGGGCAATCAATATGAAGAAAAAAACTATCAAGAGATAATCTTCTCCATTGTCAGGTTATGTTTAAAAATGTAATTTTGGCTAAAATTTGCATGTTATGGCTCATGTGTCCAGAGAGTCATGAAGGGATGAAATGCATCTTTTATTTTCCAAGCAGGGAGGAAAGTCAAGACTACCAACAGAGCCAGGGGAGCAGGTTCTGTGGGTCCTGGATCTTTCATTCCCTAGATAGGATTCTGCTGTCATGGCAGGAAATGACTAACATTGCTATTAGAGTAATGAGGAACCACTGTGTTAGAACAGTTTTAAAACCTCCCTGGCTCTTACAGAGTACCATAAATCCCTCAGGCCTGGAGGGTGCCATTTGTGCAGACATATGCTGTGTGCCTCTTTCTTATTCTTTCAGAGTTAAGACAACAGATCGGCCTAGAAACACTTTTTCATTATCAGAAAAGCTGTTGTAATGGCTGTGCTGATTGGTCTCACTTATAATTTTACAACTGTTTCTATGTGTCACTATTGTTCATATTAACATTCTTAAAAAATCTAAGAATCTTCTCCAGTTCTCCCAAGGGCAGATTCATTATCAAAATACCTGCAGTATCATTGCACTATCACTTTCTATGTATTCATCCTTCAGATACTGGTCAAGTCTTGCCTCTGGTTAGTGTGAAGAGGTCTTTAGAAAGTGATTGTGCTTTCTGAGTGTACAAAGATAGTCACACATTTACCAGAGTTCCAGAAGTAAAAAAGAAGTGTTATTCATCTTTGGGTCAATTCTGTGTGCAAATACTCTTTTCCTAACTCCCAGACGTTGGTGAGAGAGTGATGTGTGTGGTAAGGGAGGTGCGTGGAGTGTATAGTAGGCTCTCCTACACAAGGGTACTCACACATAGTAATCTACTATTTGATGAGGCATGAGGATCTGATAACTGAATTTGGCCATCTTCTACAGAAACAATCAAAAGAGTATGGAGATTTTACAATAAATTCATTGGTTTGTGACTGGAGACATTCAATTACTGCTTTAGGAGTTTCTAAGGAGTGGAGGTTATTTATACTGATATGATTAAAGTGAAAAAAAAATATATATGTAAAGTAAAATCTGTTTTGTTATGAATTGGCTGAAATTATCAGTACACCTTTATATTATACATTTATTTTTTAAATAGCATAGGTTTTTATAATCATATTTTTAAATGACGAAAACACAAATCACCTCTGTCATAACAGGATGTAGAGGCAACAGAGAAAAAACAGTGAGACAGAAGATGGGTTTGGACGTTGCTTTAACACTGTCTCACTGTATACCATCCCGCCAGCCTTGTCACATTTTGTTACCTCATTTTCTCAGTTGATCAAATGTGAATAATTTTCCTGACATGTATCCTGTCACTGAAGTCACAAGAAGAGCTAAATAAAAGAAGCTTTTATTTGCTTTGATCTTTTTGGAAGAAAAGCATTTTATCAGGCTAAGGTATTACAGTGATCTTTCCCTGACAGATGACAGGATCAAGTCTGGGTAAGGGACTTAGTGAGCCAAGCTGATTAGTGAGTCATGAACAAAGATAGGGTGAGCATTAAGGTTCAGATAGCACCATGCTGCCAGGACTTGCTTTTCTAGGCTGTGGCTCTTGTGTCATTTATTCAACATGCCTATGTGGTATTCATTTTGAAAGTTTGACATTTATAGATGCATGTAAATATAATATGTATGTACGTGTGCATATATATATATATATATATATATATATATATATATATATATATACACACACACAAATGATGCACATATATGTATAGGTACAAATGTATGTGACTTTAGACCAGCCTTGGTCTTGAATTATGTATGAAATTGTCTCTTAGGATAGCCTAGATTGTGCAGCAATGAGACACTAAAATCATTTTTTGTTTAATTAAACTTATTGGGGTGACAATGGTTAGTAAAATCACATAGGTTTCAAGTGTGCATTTCTGTAACACATCATCTATATATCACATTGTGTGCTCACCACCCAGAGTCAGTTCTCCTCCCATCACCATATATTTGACTCCCTTTACACTCTCCTACCATCCCCTCTACCCTCTTATCCTCTGGTAACCACTAAACTGCTGTCTGTGCCTATGAGTTTTTGTTTCTTTGTTTGAAACACTAAAATCTTAGTGGCTTACAAAAGGAAAAATTTATTTCTTGTTTACTCTATAAGTCCAAGGTGGGTTGGTAGAAGGCTGTGGTCTTATAAGTTACCCTCACTGTGGAGTCCTAGACAGACAGAGTAGGATCCACCTGGAATATTGCTGGTCTGAGTAGCAGAGAGAGAAGAGAACAAAAAACACACAGGGTTCTTAAATTTTCTACCCAGCAGTGAGACACCTCAGTTTTATTTCTGTTTTATTGACCAGAACAAATCTTATGGGCAATCCTGACTTTTGGAAGTCGGGGGAGCATCATGATCTAAAAGCATATTGTATTACAAATACTGGCATTTGGGGATATAATCTAGTGCTTTGTAATTCTGACCCCTCCTGCTGGGACTATCACTCATTACTTGCTCATGTTTTGGGGGTTCCAGATTCTCTCTTGCTATCTTGTGACCAAGACACACTGTGTTGTTCCAAAGTCATTCCTCTCATTTAAAAAAAATTAATAAACTTTATATCTTAGAGAAGTTTTAGGGTCACAGAAAAACTGAATGGCAAGTACAGAGTTTGTATATACCCCTGCCCCCCAGATGTACGGCCTCCCCCACTATCTACATCCCCTGCCACAGTGTTACATTTATTTTATCAGTGAACCTACATGAACACATAATTATCACCTAAAGTCCATGCCATTTTTTTAATAGTTTAACTTCCTACGAAATCTCTGGTCAACTCAGTATGTTAAAATGTCATTCAGATCTGTTGTGTGAAATTCTATCAATAAGATAAACCAAACTGTGAAAAGATTCCATTTTTCAAGGAAATGGTTTAATGTTGGTTTGCACAAGTTCAATTACAGCAGAAACTAATTTCTTCATCTAACTCACCACCCCCCCACACACATAATATACCAAATTTACATTGGATTGGTTAAAACAATAATTATACATATCCAGGAAATATAAAATGCTAACCCTAACTAGGAATGCTGAGGGCTTTATTAAGTTTGGACAGTTTAAAAGATAGGACCCTGCTTAAACTTCTAAAATAAATAAAACTTCTTTTTGGTTTTCAACTAATAAATTGCCATTAATATGGTTTTATGGTGCTAATGGATATTTTCATCATAGCAAATTAAAAGTTATTTTGTTGAAATACCAATGATGCCATCAAGTAAAAGTGACCTCACCTAAGTGGTTCCTGTTTAAAAGTCGCAGTTTAAAATACTTTAAAAGCATCATCATGCTAAACAAAATAAGTCAGACAGAAGAAGTCGAGAACCATATGATTTCACTCATATGTGGGATATAAAACTGAAAGCAACAAATGAACAAGACAAACAAACAAGCAAAAACTCATAGATACAGACAACAGTTTAGTAGTTACCAGAGAGTAAGGGTCAGGGGAGGTAGAAGAGGGTAAATATTAATATATGGTGATAGATGGACAATTGACTTTGGGCGATGAACATGCAATGCAATATATAGATGATGTATTATAGAATTGTACACTTGAAACCTATATGATTTACTAAGCAATGTCACCCCAATAAATTTAATAAAATAATCAGATGTACAAAGCAGTAGATTTCCAGCAAGCAACAGTAAGAAAGCAAACAGATAAACTAAATTAAGTGTGTTGAATTTTCATCTCAAAAACACATAAAGAATGTTAAAGAATATCAATAATAGTATATTATTAAACACAAATACACCATTCCCATGAGCTCTGAACACCATAGCAGCCACAAATAGGAAATAGCATCGGAAAAAGAAAACCTTATTTTAACTTTTTCTCTTTCACTAAACAAAAATAAATTAGCTATGACAAAAAGTATTTAATCCAAATATGCAGTTTATTTGAATAGAATATGTGGTTTTAAGGGTCAGTTATTTTTTTAAAAAGTTAATTTTTTGGATATATTAATCAATGATATGAATCTTAGTGGAAATTACGTTAATCTTACAAGTAGAAGACAGAAGAAAAACAAATGTATGTATACTGTTTATTCTAGTTTAATTTGCTAATGATAGCAGGTATGGTTAGTGATCTGCATAATTTCTATGAAGGAATTATGTATACAATACCTACAATAATGGGGGAGAGGGTAAAATGTATAGAAAATGGAAATAGATTAGTCAAATTTATTTATGAAAAGGTTTTTGTGTGGTTCTAAGAGACAATACATTTTCTGCCTTTGGCAAATAAGCATGGTGTAAAATAAACAGATGTTGTGTGACCTTGTTATGGCATGAAGACTCAAATTGATCAGAGCTCCTCTGTTTTCCTTTCTAGGATGGGCTCTTTCTTTGCTCCCAGCCTCCCAGGCATCAATATCCTTCGGCTCTACACATCCATGTACTTCCAGGGCTGGGCCGTAACATGTTGTAATGTTCCTGAGGCCAGAGTCTTCAAATCTTCCCGAGGGAATACCTTCTACCTGGGCATGCTCTTACTCATCCTCTTCCTGTCCACCATGCCTGTCCTGTACATGATCGTATGCCTCCCGCCATCTTTCGATTGTGGCCCTTTCAGGTTCTTGTCTTTGAAATTCTATTTGGGCATAGTTTTGTTTCAGGCGTGGAGATAGGAATGGTCAGTCATTGTAGGAATTATTTTTGTTTTTTCAAACAATGACATTTTGGTATGTCGGCATGAGATCCTTCGGGTATTCAGGCTCATTATGTGACATGGAGATTCGTAGGCTGGTTCCATCTATTTTCTCCTTTGGGAATCATAAACAGAAAAATAACTGCTCTAGGCTCCACCTGGGTCAAATATGGACAATGAATCTGAGCTATTTCCATATAAGGACATAGTGAAGAGCTAGTCTGGATGTGAAAGTTTTGTTGATGCTGGGTCTTCACACCAAGACATTTGAAGGTTTTTCTATGTCTCATGTGGACCACCAAATTGAAAAAAATTAAAAATAAAAATAAATAAATATGGTAGATTACTCTACGTGCTACCTAGGACATAGAATCATTGTTAGATAATACTATGAAGAGGGTCACACAATTTATAATCCAAAATGCTACAGACCAGTAAAAAAATTAAAGCTGTTTCTCACATACATATTCCCTTAATAACAAGGATAAATCTCTCAAGTCATTAATAGTCAAGAAGGCTCTTTGACCCAAGTTGGAAATGTACTTTCTACAGTTCTCTGTGACAAGAGTTCTCTCTGACACTTATCAAGAAAGCAAAGTCCCTAGGATACAGAGGATTGAGATTTCATTCCCTAAAGGGCCTTAGACGTGAATCTACCACAAGTCTTCCCCAGTATCTCGGTGTGTTGGGCCACTGGGCAGCATGAACTTATTATGCTTTTTCAGTAAAGAAAATGTGCATGTGAAAAGCCATGTGAATGAGAACCGTGATGCCATAATGGCCACATGTCATTTCCCCATCATGCTGTCAGACCCAAGTCATTACATTAAAGTCAAAAAGGTTTGTTGCCCATTGACTTAAGTAAAAAAGAAGCATTTTTTCACTCTAATAATAATCTGAGTTATTATTGCTTTGCTGGAAAGGAAAGAAAGAAAATGTTAAGCCACCTGGTAGGGCAAAAACTGCTGGAGTTCTTTAATTCAGGAAGCTGATGTTGACAAGTCCTGTTCATCCTCCCGTCCAACCCCCACCCACCCAGTGGGCTGAAATAAATAATGCAGACAGTGACATCTGGAGACTAAATAGGAAATTGCATTCTTGAAGGAGATTGGTCCTAATAAATCTTTGATTAATCTCAGAGTACAAAGTTCAAAAGATAAGCCATTCAGAGATGTCTGTTAACTGCAAGTTACCCAGACAACTAAATGTCTAGGATAAGTTTTAGGTGTGCTTTTGACTCTTAATTGGAAGTTGATCCTTTTCAGAAAAATGTATCAAAGGAACTTAGTTGTCTGCAAGGGAAACCTCATAATGTCCACAGGGAACTGGGTGGTGGTTATACAGGTGCATTCATGTCAAAAATATCATTGAGGTAGACATGTACAATAACTGTACAATTTTAATCTTTTTGAACCCTAACTCGTTTACCTTTCTTTATATCACACTGAGTTACTATGATTATAATGGAAAAAAAATTGTTTCTAAGGCATAATATCTGATTTTGACCATGTGTTTCCTAATTGGTAAACTTAGGCAAAATTACTACATATATATCAGTATTTTGAGATAAAGGAAATTTAAATATTTTCAGTGGAGAATTGGGAAAGGGGTTATCTCTATCCTATTTAGATAGTCTATTTTTCCTGTTAGTGTCCTCATTTTGGAGCAGAATGTACACTCTGTTTGTTTGGACTTAAAGTTTGAAAGGGTTGTTCTGCCCTAGACAAGGGTGAGAAAGCATATGTTAGCAGGAGCCTCATGATGTGCCATCCTTAGGGACCCTAAGGTTGTGAGGATTTGCCCAGCCCGCCTAGGTAGTTAAGGGTGTCTGATCCTGCCTAGCTCCTGAGTGGGCAGCAAACTGGCAAATATGCACATAAGGTAGGTTAATGGAGACACCACAGCGATGGCCGATTGAGCCCGGATACAGGTATGTTCTCAGGTAAGGCAGCTACCATACCCTAGAAGACCCATTCTGCAAAGCAATTTGATGAGATTTTCTACCTTGTTTTGGTTTCATATGAGCTGGCTAGGGAGGGTGAATTGACCAGAAAATTGTTCTAATTGACTATTAAATGGATTTGTTTAAACAGTTCAACAATTTAAAAAATGTATTTTTTCTGGTGTCCAGATGAAAGAAATTCTTCTAATTGTTCCACCATATTTCCTGACATTTGGTGTTTCTCCCCCAACTCCCTCACTAGTAATGCTCAACAATTTCTAGTTCTCTAGGTTCTCACACACCTCCCTGCTAACATTATGGTAATTACATTCTTTATATATTTTCATCTTACTACAAAGATGCCATGTGTTTGTCATAGAAAACCTGGAAACTGTAGAAACATTTTAACAGGAAAATAAATACTACCCATGGCCCCCCAAAGTCCTGAGATAACAACTCTTGACATTATGGCATTTTGTATTCTGGTTTTCTTTTTATGAAGATTAAAAAAGTAATAATCACTGAGATCATACATTATGTTCAGGTTTATATTATATTGTGATACTGCTATTATATTACTCATTGGCAATTATACTCGATGTGTTTATTTTTCTTAATAGTATATAGCTGGTTTCTAGAAGTGGGGGATATTTTCAGTTCTTTGAGTCTAAAACAGTAGAGTGTTGGCCAATTAATTTGAATTGAATGAAGAATGACTGATTATTGTGTCCTAAGCACTAGATGAGGTGCAGGGTTAACTTGGGCATAGATTCTGGTCCTGTGGAGCTTCCAGTCTGGCTGGAAAGGCAGGCCTGCTCAGAGATTCTTCTAATCCAGGGATTAGGATGGAGCTATGTCCACAGGAAAACTGTAGGTTAAGTGCAGTAGTAGCGTTTCACGTGATGACTTCTGGGAATAGCGTGAAGTGGCACAAGTTGGCTAACCTGACAGAGAAAAGGATTGCTATCACGTACCGCGTGACAAGGGCTGGGGGGCTTGAGGAGGGGTGGCAAAGGGTTAAGAAATCACAAGAGTCAAAAGTAGAGTTTCTGCTGGCCAGGCGTCTGGTCTCTGTAGACTGAGAGAAGGAGCCCTGATACTGGCAGGCGTAAAGCTTTTATTTACCACGGTCACAAAGAGGTCAATTTGAATATCTATACCCAGTTAATTGATTCATTTAGACTGGCAGCTGCTTCACTGAAACTCAGTGTGATTAAGCACAGCTGTGCTTTCACACATGCGTTATGATCCCTGGGATGGCATCAGTATTCCGAGACCACCTGATAAATTTTACCGAGATCATTCCCTCGGGTCTTAGCATTCCAAGACACTTCCTTATGGCTTCAAAGGATCAGTGCGCAGGAGCATTGAGTCGGCAGCTGCAAGGTGACAGATTGCCAGGGATTTTTAGTTGGCTTCTGTAGTTTGTGTATAATTAAGAGATCCAGACTCTAGGTAAGAGACCTGGTCTGGAAAAGGCACCCAAGAATCCCCAGAGATGCCAGTGACTTTGCATTTGGGATACACTGGGATGCAAAGAAGAACTTTGTAGGTAGGGATTATTTTGTCCAGTCCCCACATTCTAACCACATTCATTGGCGATAGATGAACAGGCTGGAAAAGGGAGGGTGGATTATCTTCTCTCCTCCTTGCTTACCTTCTTGCTCGGGCTGTATTCCATATGGCCAGGGGGAAGGATGGTCAGTTAGGACGGAAAACTTAGTGGCATAGTTGATATAATCTTAAATTGTCTGTACACCTCATTCCCCCCTTATGTATCACAGGTCTCACTAATTAGTGTGTTGATCTATAATTTGTGAAGCAGAATTTACACTTCTGTAGCCCAGCGACTCCTGACAAGATACTGGGAGTCACTCCCAGCCTGTTGAAAGATATTATTAGTTCAGGAGAAAGAAAAATTGATCTGGAGCTTAGGGGTCATGTTCATTTAGTAGCTGAGAATGTTTAAAACTTAAAAAACAAAAGTGAAAGCAAAATATTATTTTAAGTGTTACACCAACCTTTATTCTGATGATATATAAAACTTGGTGATAACCAACCTAGTAACTTTTCTGAAAATTACATCTTTTCATAGTACAATCAGTATTCATAACCAGAAAAAAATAACTCAGCATGATGGATATTACTTTATATTTTGAATATTATATACTAAATTAAGAGAGACATTTATTCCCATTTTTCTAGTTTATAAGGGCTGGTTCTTATCTTAATGGGTTGAGAACAAACCAACCATTTAGGACCTTTGCTTTAAAGGCTTATTTTCCTTCTCTTCCCATTTTATTTTCTTAACAGTGGAACTGAGCTAGTACTTTTTAGGACCTGTCCAGAAGAAATACTGAGAGAGAAAGGACTCCACATTCAGTGTGGTTACCTATTAATAGCCCTGATGAAAGAGGTCTAGTGGAAAATGAGATAGAAGCTACTGCATGGAAAGATATATTGGATTATTTGTGGATTTGATTCCGTTAAACTATCCCTTATGCTCATTTTCAAGGCTAATTAAAAAACTGAGTGCACTGTTTATTCACCCCGAAGAGCGTGTTCTCCTACAAGGACAGCAGGCCAAGGGGTTGACTGATAAGCTATTGATAAAATACATGTCAATCAAAATCTTAGAATTACAGCTTTAAAATTGTGTCTTCTAATTCTATGGTGAATTTCCTACCTGGTTTGTTGGTGTGTTTATGTTGGGATAACATTTCTCATATCCATATGTTGACAATACGAATGTGAGGTCGCAGTATCAGGAGTGATGCCTAACCTGGAAGTGTGCTTCAACAATGTTTGAGAAAGATTTTTAGCTTTCTTGCTGTAACCATGGTTTTTTATATGTTTTAAATAAACTTTTCTCCTTCCCCTTTCTCTTCCTTCCCTTCCCCCTGCAGTGGCAAAAATAGGATGTTCGAAGTCATTGGAGAAACTCTGGATAATGATTTCCCAAGCTGGATGGCAATGATCTTGAGACAGCTTTCTAACCCTGCACTGATGCTTGCCGTGGCTTTGGTTATGGTGTATGTGCTTTCCCCTCCTCCTAGCAAGAGCCTTTGTAATGTTCTTCCAGACTCCTTTTACGTTTCAGCTTTTTCAGCTCTCCCACTCTCTCTAAGGGTTGCGCTGTAATCTAACCAAATTCAGTGCCGATTACATGGCCGTGAGAGGCTAAAATTAATGAGTTGTATGCTGATCTTACTGCATGTAACTCACAGCCATCTGCATCTTTGCCTGCCTAGGATTATAAGATTTGTTCCCAAGTAACCAAAATCATTATCAGTAAACAGCTAAAGTAAGGGAAACATAAATGCTAAATCTAATCAGCACATCGATCGTCCCCCCACGGCCTGGCCTCCACCTCTGGTTCCATAAAGCAGATGGCTGTGAATATACAGACGGGATGAACCTTTAGTTAATATCCCCCTTGGGGGCCCTATAGGCTATATTTTAGGGCTCAGAGCTTAAGGGGTCTGAAAAATCACCCTGTCCTTTTTCCTAGAAGGTGATCAATAAGTGTGTGTCCATAGTAATAGAATCAGAGGAACAGAAGGGTCTTAGAAAGGTCACTTCCTCTATCCCTTCAAAGGTATAGGTGATATCCAGAGGGAGCTTGGGAGGGGGCTTTTAGTCCCATATTATTTGCACTGGCTTCTGATCCTTGGCCACCACAGATAGACTTACATTCTAAGTAAAAATATATGCTACCGATGGAAGAGACATGAAAAGTGCCCTAGGCCTTCCTTTCATTCCCCAAGACCCTCCTAAATAGAAAGTCTGGCACTGCCACTGCTGTCAGTCAAGGAGGGCAAGTCTGAAACCCTTTAGAAACAAAGCTGACACTAGAGGTTGGATTTATTTAAATAAAACTAAAACTACAAAACCTTAGGGAGAGAACTCCCAGGGTTTTAGAGTAAATGAGTGGGGTCTGGGCCAATTTATTATCATCATCTTTGCGATGCTCATGGTCCTGAGCCATGTCAGTGAAGGTATGTGTTACATTCTTCAATTTTATAAATTAAGAAACTGTCTTAGAGGGGTGAAGTGATTTTTGCCTAGGTGAGGATAGAGCAAAATGGTATTAGTAGGACTGTGACAGTAAATCCCAACTTTCACCCCTTTACACCAAGGCACATTCTTTGAGGAAGAGCTAACAGCCTGTAGGGATAATTAAACAGTAAAACAGATTACTATTATATATTACAGAACCTTGATCGCGGTGGGGTGGCATTTACAGTCTGATAGTAAACCACTGGTGCAGATATGTTAGACGATGACCTGCAGGACACAGCATGTTCCCCCCGATGGCCCTTGAAGGGACTTTCCTTCTCCACCCTTTCATGATATAGCGGCTTCGGAGAGCCTGTTAAGTATGCTGTGTCTTTTAAGAGCCAAGGCCCTTTAGTGGTATAAATGATGTCTTGTTTGAAAACAAAACTAAACAAAACATAAAACTCAATGTCAGATTTTATTACTATTGTCTTAACTTATTGAGAGGCAGATTTATTTTTAAGCAAAGGAACAGCATTGTTCTAACGCCACTAATTAAAGATTTAATAAGCTGCCTTGGGAGGGTGGAAGAGGAACTTACACCGCCTTTGCTCCAGGCGTTATTCATGTGTGCACTTTCATTTCCACAGTAAGAAGTTGGCCTCACTGATCATATGATTGGCAACACATGGGAGATCCGCTCCAAATCAAATAGCTAATAAGTTAATTCAAATCCATGTTTTCTTATTTCCCACCTGTTGTTCCTCTGCATTTCCCCCCACCCCCCACCCCCACCTCTTCATTTGCAGCACCAAACACTGAGTTCAGAATGAGTGGGCATGTTCAAACGGGCTGGGAGCCACTTGGCAGGTATGGTCTACAACCGGGGTGGGCACAGTTTTCTTAAAGGGCCAGACAGTAGATATTTTAGGCTTTGTAGGTCAAGAGGCAAAAGTGAGACTATTATATAACCATTTAAAAGTGTAAAAACCAGTTTTAGTTCATGGGCCTCACAAAACAGGCTGGGAGTTAGATTTGCCCTGGAGACCATCTCTTGATACAGACTGTCTAGAGAGGAAAGCCGGCAGGCTAGAAGGTCAAATAGGAGTCCTACAAGGTTGATTTTTGTTCTGAGGTTCTGATTTAAAACCCAAATTCAGTTTATAGCTGATTTGACTTTTCAAATCCTGAGGTCTCATCTTCCACTTTATGGGGCCCAGGCGATTGGCTTGGGTTTTTATTACCTTTAATTACAGAATGTTACATGTTACTAGTGTTTTGGATTTCCCGAATGGGTTATATTCAAATCAGCTTAGGTGGTTTTTGGTAACTGAGTAGAGTTTAGGGTAGTTCTCTGCAGGTAGTTTTATTCCTCTGGAGACTAAAAAATGACTTATAACAAATATTCACTTAGGGTGCAACACAAGGCAGACAAAAGTGATGGATAAATAGAGAATTCCAAGTCTGCAATTGACTTGTGAGGTGTTTGAGTGCATCCCCCAAATCCAGGCATTTTTGTAAGAAAAGCCTCATAACACACACACACACACACACACACACAAACACACACACACACTTATTGAGCACCTACTTCATGCCAGATATTGCACCAGATGCTTTTATGTATGTAGTTTCATTCAGACTCCTGCCACTCATTTAAGAGCTTAAACAAACTCAGCTAAACCATCTCAACAATTGTGTTGCTAGCAGCAGATGGCTCATAAAGGATGTAATCTGGCATGTTGGTGAGTAAAGGCAATGTGTTCAGTATCCAGTTATTTGCAACCAAGAGCAATGCCAGTTACCTTTTTTTTTTTTTTGAACTGCACATTTTCTTTCTTTGTTTATTTGTTTTGCTTTAAGTGAAGGTGGACATATTGATTTTTTTGCAGCAATGTTTGGCTGGAATTTTCTCTTTTTAGAAATGTAAATGTCACTTAAAAGCCAAGAATATTATTTTACAAACCATTTTCTTTCTGAAGGAAGAAGAAATGCAAACAATACATCCTATGCAAAAACAAATCATGTTAATTAACTAGGACTGTGAGGGAATTTAGGCAGAAAGTAAGTTTCCATTTTATTCGACACATTCCCTAAGCTTCAGTAATTCCATTCTCTTGGAAGCCATTAGCATCAATTTAAAATGCTACTTTTAGTTATAATTTAAGCTGATGTTAATACATTTACAAGAAGAATCTAAAATTAGTCAATGAGGTACAATAGACAGAGTCCCTGGCCGTGGAGAAAGAGCTTTGGGGTACAATTTCCCAGGTCCGCCCCTAGTCACTGTGGAACTGAGTGTGCTTCTTTACCTAGGTCTATCCCTGATTCAGTCTTTTATCTACAAAATAAGAGGTTCCAAGTAGAAAATATCTTCAAGTCTACTCTAGTGCCAACATTTTATGATTCAGTTAATGTAAATTTAAGAGGAATCTTGAACTGAAAAACACCATAAAGTTTATTATTTTTTAAAATTCAGGTTGACCATCTATTATCTTAATGCTTCTGTAAGTGGCCAGAAGGCAGCAAACCAGGAACTAAAAAAGAAGATGAAACAGGTAAGACACAATGTAGTTTTTAGAAATATTGTCTTTATTAATGCCAAATAGTAGAAAACATCAGGAAATCTCATGTTCTTCTCTCCTATTTTCATTGTGTAGCAAGCTTTGGAGAACAAATTGCGAAACAAGAAAATGGCAGCTGCACGAGCAGGTTGGAAATATATTTGCAATCTTTTTTCCCTACAAACAGTATGCTTCTCTTTTTTTTTTTTTTCCCCCACCCAAATGGGGCATTCGGTGCACAGTGGCATTATTTTCCTAAGCAAATGATTCCACATTCCTTCTGTCCACCTTTTTGGCCATTCTCAGGCATCATATCCAGGGGGTTTAGTTGTTTAGTTGGGAGAAAGAAAAGACAACGAAAAATTCAAGAATGTAAACTTAGAAGTAGTGATAGAAAAGTGATGTCGCAAGTTGACAGAAGATGAAAAAAAAATCCATGTAGTCATATGCAAATAGCAGATACAAATGGAGACTCTCTCTTGCCCATTTTGACCATTTTTATACATAAAAGGATACCCTGGGAAGATCCCATGAGGGTCCTCTGAGCTCACCATCATTGATGGTCAAAGCCTTTCCTCATTCATTAACTTTTCTTTCTTTTTAGTCTCATTAATTTTTAAAACATTAGGCTGAGGCATATTTCTGTTTGCCAGAATTACTGGTATGCTTTGGATTCCACATGGAAAAGTGATGCCTAAGAAGTTCAGTGAAAATCTTTTTCAACTTTCCCCTCCTTCCTAACTATAAAACCATTTATGGTCATAGGGCTTTTTTCCTCTCTGTAAGTAATGAAAAACTGAAATCAACTTGGTTTAAATAAAAAAATTTTTTTTTATCAGTCCACACACATGAACTGGAGAGGAGCATGTATGACTCCAGGCCACGTTTTACCCTAAATTTAGAAGCCATCAGGGCTGAGTTGCATTTTTCTGTGGTTCTTTGAACACTGCCCTCCTTTCATGTTGGCTAACCTTATGGCAGCAGGAATAATGCAGCTGTACCCTTAGATTTTGTTGGTCTTAGATTATTTTTTTCATCATTAAGCTACTTGTTTAATTGCACTGAAATTTTTTCAGCTTTATTGAGGTATAATTAATAAACAAAATTATAATACATTTAAAGTGTACAATGTGATGACTTGATAAACATATACATTATGATAGCATTCTCACCACCGAGTTAATTAACACATCATCACCTCACATATTTACTTTTTTTTTTTTTTGGTGAGAACACTTAATTTTCCAAACACCATTTATTGAAGAGATTATCTATTCCCAATTGTATATTCTTGGCATCTTCTCAAAAATGAATTAACCGTATATACCTGTGTTTATTTCTGGGCTCTCTATTCTGTTCTATTAATCTTTGTGTCTGTTTTCATGTCAAGGCTATATTGTTTTGATTACTATAGTATTATAATATAGTTTCAGATTAGGAAGTGTGATACCTCAAGCTTTCTTCTTCTTAAGATTGTTTGGCTATTTGTAGTCTTTTGTGGTTCCATATAAACTTTAAGATAGTTTTATTCTGTTTTTGTGAAAAATGCCATTGGAATTTTGATAGGGACTGCACTGAATTTGTAGATTGCTTTTGGTAGTATTAACATTTTCACAATATCAATTCTTATAACCCATTAACATAGAATATCTTTCCATTTATTTGAGTCTTCTTTAATTTCTTTCATTAATGTTTTATAGTTTTCAGTGTACAGATATTTCACTTCTTTGGTGAAATTTATTCCTGAGTATTTTATTATTTTTGATAGTAGTACAAATGGTGTTGTTTTCTTAATTTCTTTATTTCTGATAGTTTATTGTTAGTATATAAAAATGCAAATGATTTTTGTATACTGATTTTATATTTTGCAATTTTAAATGAATTCATTTATTAGTTCCAACAGTTTTCAGTGGATTCTTTAGGGTTTTCTATATATAATATTATGTCATCTGCAAACAGATAATTTTACTTCTTCCTTTCTTATTTGGATGTCTTTTATTTCTTTTTCTATCCTAATTAATCTGGCTAGGACTTCTGGTACTTATGCTAAATAAAAGTGATGAGAGTGATGTTCCTTGTTTTATTCCTGATCTTAGAGGAAAAACTTTCAACTTTTTACCATGGAGTATGATGTTAACAATGGACTATGTGGCATTTATTATGTTGAGGCATGTCCCTTCTATGCCTAATTTGTTGAGGGTTTTTTGTCATGAAAGGAATTTGAATTTGTCCAATGCTTTTTCTGAATATTTTGAGGTGATCATATGATTTTTATGCTTTATTTATTTATTTATTTATTTATTTATTTATTTATTTATTTAAGATTTTCATTTTTATTGGGGAATTGGGGAAGGGGAACAGACAAGTTGCTGTCCTTTGGTTCTTCAGTCTAGTTGTGGAGGACGTCGCTTCACTGGTCCATGTTGGTATTGTGATCATTGTGCTCTTCCTGGGTGAGGCAGATCTGTTGCCAGCCATTGGACGGCTGCTCACAGCAGCTCATGGCAGCTCACGCTGGTTGCCAGCCACTAACGCTGGCTGCTGGCCACTCATGGTAGCTTACGGCAGCCCACTGGGGTGCCACTGCAGCCTACGCTGATGCCGGCGACCCACAGCAGCCTAGCTCCAGGTCGAGCTGTTGTTCACCATCTTAGCTGTAGAGGGCGCAGCATCACTGGCCCACATGGAATCCAAACAGGTGGCCTTGCTGCTCAGAGCTCGTGCTCCCAAGCCAACTCAACCAACAAGCCACTTGGCTGGCCCTTATGCTTCATTTTGTTAAGTGGTATATCACACTTATTGATTTGCAATATGTTTATTTATTTGAGCCATCCTTGCATCCTAGAAATAAATCCCACTTGATCATTGCATATGATCCTTTTAAAGCACTGTTAAATTCAGTTTGCTAATATTTTGTTGAGGATTCTTACATCTGTGTTCATCAGGGAATATCCGCCTGTCATTTTCTTTCTTGTAGTGTCCTTGTCTAGCTTTGGAATCAGGGTAATGCTGGCCTTGTAACATGAGTTTGGAAGTTTAGCCTTCTCTTCAATTTTTGGAAGAGTTTGAGATGGATCAGTGTTAATTCTTCTTTAGATGTTTGGTAGGATTCACCAGTGAAGCCATCTGTTCCTGGGTTTTTCTTTGTTGGAAGGTTTTTGATTATAGATTCAATCTTTTTATTAGCAATTGATCTGTTCAGATTTTCTATTTCTTGATGATTCAGTCTTGATAGGTTGTATGATTCTAGGAATTTATTCATTTTTGGGGGGGTTATATTATTTGTTGGCGTATAGTTCATAGTAGTTTCTTAAGATCATTAGTATTTCTGTGTTACCAGTTGTAATGCCTCCTCTTCATTTTAATTTTATTTGAGTCCTTTCTCTTTTTTCCTTAGTCCTGCTAAAGTTTTGTCAATTTTGTTTATATGTTCAAAAAACAGCTCATAGTTTTATTGATCTTGTCTATTGTCCTTTTAGTCTTTATTTTTACCATGTGTGTGTTTGTGATTTCACAACTCTCTTTACTGTTGTTTTATTTTATTTTATTTTATTTTATTTATTTTTTATCTTTTATCAAGAGGCATTTTTAGTCTTTATTTCCAACCTGCTCTTTTTCATTTCTTTCCTTCTGCTAACTTTGGACTTAGTATGTTCTTACTTTTTCTAGTTCTTTGAGGTATGAAGTTAGGTTGTTTATTTGATATCTTTTATTTCCCTATAATGTAGGTATTTGTCATTATAGATTCTCTCTTGAAATGGCTCTTGCTAGATTTCATACATTTTATTATGTTGTGTTTCCACTTTCATTTGTCTAGAGATAGTTTTTGATTTTCCTTTTTATTCCTTCTTTTACCTATTGGTTGTTAAGAAGCATGTTGGTTAGTCTCTACATATTTGTGAATTTTCCAATTTTCCTCTCGTAATTGCATTCTAGTTTCATACTATTGTGGTTGGAAAAGATGTTTGATATGATTTAAATCTTCTTAAATTTATTAAGATTTGTTTTGTGGCCTAACATATGATATATTTGGGAGAAGGTTTTATGTGTGTTTGAGAAGAACGTTTGTTATGCTGTTGGATGAAATGTTCTGTATATGTCTGTTAAGTCAATCTGGTTTAATGTGGAATTTAATTTCAATGTTTCCCTATTGATTTTCTGTCTGGACTCTGTTAAAAATAGGACTTTGAAGCCCCTTACTCTTACTGTATTACTGTCTATTTCTCCTTTCAGATGTTAATATTTGCTTTACATATTTACATAAATATATAAATATTCTGATGTTGGGTATGTAAATATTTACAATAGCTATTTCCTTTTGGTGAATTGTCCCTTTTTATCAATATATAATGTTCATTTTTGTCTTTTATTATAGTTTTTGGCTTAAAATCTATTTTGTCTGAAATAAGTATAGCTAGCCCTGCTTTTGGTTTTTGTTTGCGTAGAATATCTTTTTCCATACCTTCACTTTTAGTCTATGTGTGTCCTTAAAACCAAAATAAGTCTCATGTAAACACCAAATAGTTGGAATCATGTATGTCACATGTATCTGCTGTGCTTTTGTATTTGCTCTAAATTATGACTATAACTTAACATTATGTAAGGTTTAGAGTGGTGAGTGAAAAGTTCTCATTTCTTGATCTGAATTATAGTTAAGGCTTATTACTATCTCTATTGTTTAAATAATGATATAATGCTATAGCATGCTACTTACCTGACATTGTCCCATAATTTGTCCTTAGAAATACATACAACCTTTGTGAAGGCAGAGACTATATCTTATTTATAGTTGTTAAGTCAGGAGTTAATACTAATACAGAACCTTATACATAACAGTCACTCAATAAATATCTACCAAATATCTGCTGGACACTGACAAATTATTTTTTATAAGGAATTATTTTATTGGAAATATTTGAAAGGAATAAATTTCTATTTTAATTACATATGCAGTAATGAATAAATGTTACAAAAAGAACAGGACTTTCATTCTCTTGTCTTTAGAATTTGGAAGAATTTTGTAAAATAAGAAATGAAGTATACTTTGAATATAAAAATGCAATCTGAAGCACATTTGGAAGATAAAGATTTCAGGGTATCTCATTCAGAGCGATTAAGTACACTGAAACCAAAGTTTTTATTTGCTTCTTCTTTATCTTATTTGTTTGTTTGTTTTGAACAGCTGCAGCTGCTGGTGGCCAGTAACGTTCATAGATGTGCTGGGGGCTCAGAAGTATTCCTCACCTTGCTGCTTAAAAACAATGACATATGTGAAGGCCCAGAGAACACGCATTATGCTATTCCCCTGTTCTATCCCTGATGGATTATCAAGGTCATACTGGTCAATAAGGCATCACCAGTTCGAAATGGAAGATCTCCACCTTTTTCAAATTAAGGATTTGGTCGCACTGTTATTGTCTCCCCTGACTCGTTTTCTTGACATTTTTCTCTTAACAAATTGAGTTTAAAAGAGGATGTAATTCAGCAATATGGGTTTACTTAATGGGTTCATTTTAAAACCTTTGGCTCCTTACGGAGTTTCATTTTATATGTTTCTTCTGCCTTCATTTTCTTGGCCTGGGAGCGGTACTGCTTTGCACTCTTTTTTCAAGTTTAGACATAGCTTCATAATTATTCATTATAAGCATTTATTAACTCACTTTTTGAAACCAACACCCTGTTTTCTCTCTTTTTTTTTTTCTACCTGTCTCTCCATCCACGACCTCCACAAATACGCACCCAAGATCTTTCTATTTGCTGCTGGATTTAGTATGAAATAAAATGTTGTTTTCTGCAGAAATATCCTAAGTGAATTAGGGGCCTGATTAGCACAGGGTTGAATGTCTCTGACCTTGAGGAGGTACATGGGTCTTAGACAGCTCAACTCTTTATGATTTTTCTGTTTTTTTAAATGACATCATAAGTGATTGCTATTTCATCACAGTTTGATCATCTGACCCCCATTGATCACATCTCCTGAGCTTAGATTCCCATAGTCTATATTTTTTTCTTTGCTGCTTGTTAAGGTTAGGAAAACACACACTTTTTTTGGGGGAGGGGGGCACTTCAGTTTATAGATGTGTTTAAGCATTATTATTTATTTAAAGTTTAAATTGACTTTGAATGGTAACAGTTAATGCCCTTAGCCAGCCTTGCTGTGTGACGTCAATTACATCTCCTAACTCATAGTGTCCTTTTCCAGAGGTAAGCCAATTTGCCTGCCATTCCCTGTAAATGACTTGCTGATTTTTATTCCCCTGTCTTTGAGTTTCTTCTTTTCAATATCCAAATGGCTATAGAATGATCACTCTGTTCCTATGCCAATCCATGTGCTATTCACTTCCATCATACCAAATTCAAGACTTACTGCCTGTGGTCAAATTTTCCAGATTAGCTTTCATTCCCACTTGTATCATTTCTTTGATAGACTTTATTAGAGTTTATTATTTTATTGATTTTCCTGTGATTTGTAATGGTTCTTTATTGTTTCTTATATGTATTGATTATCTTTCCTATCCAGATTATAAGCTTCCTATGAGCAGGGATTATAACTTTAATTCTCTCATATGCCTAGTATAGTGCTGAGCATAGGTAGGCGCTGAATAAATGCTTGTTAATTAAATTGAATCAATTTAACTTATAGCAGTTGCACTGTGAAACAAAAGCTTCTGTTATCTGCGTGAACATATTATTATGATGTAAGAAATGGAATTATCTGTTGATATGCTGACTTTATTGTCTCATTAGATTATAATGAACATGAGTAAATAAAGCTAGTGCTTATTTCTGCTTGTGTCATTTCTCCACTGTGTAGTAATAAGGTTAGAGAATTGGTTTATATGTGTTGCCAAATTTACGATGTGAATTACACTTCCTTGCTCTTGATCTATTTTATGAGGAGGATTATGAGAGATGGCAAACTGTCCTCCCAGGTCTTCATCTCCTAAAGACAATCTACTTTTTGAACAAATGCTCATGGTATAAGCATTCAGACATGATATGATAAGTTTCAGTCTTTCAATACATTAAAAAAATAAGTTGGGTTTTAATTGCACAGAAATACCCACCTGATTTAAGTTAAGCGTTTTTCAAAATTTTAGCTCTTTCAGTTTCCAGAGAGCTGTTGAAAATATTCCCATACTATACATAGACACATATCTGAAACAGTGAATGCCATTTCCAAAGCTGTTTTACAACTGTTCAGAAATTAGCCTTGCACTGGAAAGGCTCTGATTGCTATGGTTTATTTTTATATCGTTATTTCCATATCTAAAGATCAAAGTCATAGGAAAAATTTAGAGAGCAAATAAACAAACAAACTGGACTTTACTTTTTATTCTTTCTGAGATGAATAAAAAATAAATTCTGACAAATATATACAAAAACTAAATTTACTTACCTGAAGAGCTTTACCATTCATTTGAAAAACTGCAGGTCAGCACATTCTTTGAGTTATCCCCTTTGGCTTCTGAGAAGACCATGTAACTTTAACCATATCAAGAGGTTTATATTAGCAAAACTTTGACCTGAACTATGTTTTCTTATCCTGATGGATTGCTACAAATACCAGAGACAGAATTCACCCTGGGCAGGTCTGGAAATGTATTGGTGACTCCAATCTTATTGTATGGTGAGGTAGGGTTTCCTTAGTTGCCTTAGAGGCAGAGCCTTTGTTGTCTTCATTCCTCAGTGGGTTAGTTGATAAGAAGAGATTTTGCATGTTTCCCAGCTTAGTACTCCAGTGCCCTTTGTGAACTGGAGCTCTGCCTTTAACCCAGTCCAAGTGAATGAAACTTGGACTATTTCACTTTGCTTTATTCGCCTTTTCCCAAAAGAGTATGTGTAGATTGTGGGGGAGTGGGCTGATAATAAACACTGGAACCATGATTATCAGGAAACACAATGAGGCCTGTCCACGTTCATCCATTTAATAAACATTTATCAAACACTCTGTGTCAAACATTGTGTATCCCAAATATCACCTGCTCTCTAGATTTTCTCCCACGGTTTTGCCCGACCTGCCATACTGATCTCCTTGGTTTCTAGCATCTTCCAGAATAATACTAGAACTTGCAAAACCATTTTGGAATTGAACAAAAATCAATCATACCTTCCTATGTAGTGCAAAACTGTAAAGTAAATAACCCTTTCTTTAAAATGACAAAGATATTACAGTACATTATCAGACAGAAATTGGAAAAGAAATTTGCTCTCTCTTATTCTCTACCAAGTGCTATATCAAGCAAAATTCAGATATTATCCTCACCTTTTGCAGCCCTCTTCAAAGTTAAGATGTTTTGATGGACAAATAATCCTGAACCTCAGAATTGGCATCAGGAGCTTAGTAAGTGTGATGCAAAGGAGCTTCACATGCAATGGAAAACCAAGTTCCCCTGGGGAAAACCAAGGGAGTGTTTCTGATGGGAAACCAATGAGATGAGGGAGGGGTGGGAGTTTGATAACTTTTATTACCTCCCTTGAGTCAAAAATATGGGCCTCAATAATAGCCATTTATAACTTTCTTTTGCCTTGATTGGTTTACAAAGGTGAAAGTGTCTCTACAATTTATTTGTAAGGAAACATATACCAAAAGAATAAGTAAGCAGACTTCAAAAACAAGAAACTTAATGAAATTGGCATGTGTTCGCTGCTTTCAATGAAGGTATGTATTTGATTTTTTGGAAGAGACATTGAGAATTATTTTTAAAATAAACTATTGTCATAGTCTTTATTCACATCTGCTTCCTACAAGAAAGAAATGCCATCCTACAATGGTGACAGGAGTTCTCAAAATCCTAAATGAGATTTCTTTTTCTCAAAGGTCTCTTAAAATGTATTGCCTTGGATACTTGGCCTTGGATGGCCCAGCTACCATTTTCGGGATGGGTCTTGGTGACTTAGTAATTGTGAATAATGGAAAAATGTGTACAAGAAATATCTGACCTTTTCTGGGAACTTGAATATTACATAACACACATCTTCATACACATCAAGAAGCATTCATATAAATCTTTATGATTATTTTTAAAATGTATAATTGTGGTACATGTTCATTCACAGCAAATTTAGAAAATTTTCATAGAATAAGAAAGTAAAAGGACCTCATAATTCTACCACCCAGAATAGCTTCTGTTAACATTCTTTGTTTTGTTTTTCTTAGATTCACACACACACACACAGATTCAATAAAATATTTTGGCTCATGAGATACATTTAGTTTTCATTCTTATTTAACATTTTCTCATGAAAATTACTTCAGGATTTTTTCAATGACTATAACATATTCTTTAATGTTAATACAGAATAATTAGTTGAACTATTTTACACTTGTACATTTAGATTGATTATTTAAAGATTAAATATTAAGTTTAAGTTTGGATCCTTTTAGAACACATTTTTTTTTGCAAAAACATTAACCTTTTAGTATATATATTTGAGACAATTTTTCATGTATTTATTGATACAATTATATTATTTTTCATACTGAAAAAATGTTTCCTAATTCAGCGTAATTAGCTTTAAATGTCACTAAAATTTTCTCCTGATATTGTTTTACTTGTGGTTATATAAAAGCTTTTTAAAGAAACTATCTCATTCTTTTTTAGGAGTTTTAAGGTTAAGAAAAATATTTAATTTATTTTGGAGGTCAAATTTCACATGCTACATCAAATTAAGTCTCATCCACATATGCTAAATCCATCTAAAGTCCCATCTGCAATATTAACTGTTTTTTTTTCTATTTTATTTGATGTACTAAAAACTTGGTCATAATTATTGAATTTACATTGTAATTTTGTTATTAAAATAACTGGTCCAAAATTATTTCTTCAAATTGAAGAAGACAAGTAGAATCCCTGATATTTTATTAGAAATTTAGCTTTTGTGTTGCTGCTGCTGCTGAGGGCCATGTTTCTCAGGTTACCATCACTATTCAAAAGAAAAGCCTGGATGCATGACCTTGGTATCTTATCCATTGCTGGTAGGATACCAGTCAAATTCCTTCTGGGTCACACACTTTGCATCATGTAAAATTAATACAAACTCCCTAAATCCAAATGAACTCATAGAACATTCCATAACGTAGCAAATTAATAATGGGTCATGTCAAGTGGGTCATAACATATCCAAATGTATCCAGCTTGACTTTGGAGGGTGACTTAAGTACTGAAAGCCCTGACTATTTGGAGACTTCACCATAAATTGAAGGGGGAAAAGACCATCTTAAAAGTAGATTAGAATACCCATGCTCCCTGTAAAACTGTAAAATCATAACTCTTCACGAATCACCTGAGAATAACAGATTAGGCTCATCAATTACTTCCTTATCACCAAAGCCATTATTAACAGCAGGTTTTACCTGTGGATAAAAGTGGATTACATAGATCTAGATAGTGTAAGACCCCGTTATTATAGTCCATTTTCTGAATTAGCTTTCCTTTGTAAACAAACATATTCTGCACCAGCCAGAACATTATGCTTAAGTGAGGGATGAGGAAGAAGTAGAAAGAGTAATTAAAGATCATTTAGTACTTCATATAGGAAAACACATTCACCAATTTACCAGATAATTATTAGCTATTTTGGATGCCTTGATCTTCAAAGGGTAAGCAAAGTTCTAACTTTATGATCTCCATTGAGATAGAGTATAATTGTGCTCCTTTTATAGAGAAAGAAACTACGACAAACACAAATTAGGTGGCCTCCCCATGGCAGTATGTAGAAACACCATGGATCAGAATTTGGAAGTCCTAGAAGTTGTTTCAGCTCAGAAATTTTATGTGGGAGGAGTGGACAAGACTGCTCAACATAGCACTGGATCAAAAGAAAGCACTCCCCAGCTTTATTCTCTGTGATGTATTGTTTCTACTTCAAACAGGAATAATATATTTGCAACTAAAAAAGAAAATCAGCTAATACAACTGCTGAGATCTTTGCAAAACTTTGGAACTGTTGAAGGTAGATACAGTATCAACATAGCTGGCTCGTTCTAGCTTAGCATTGTTTATACCTATGTATCTGAAGGACCCAACTGGGCTCAGGGCTCAGTACTGGCCTGAAATACTAGTAGGAATGTGTCCCAATGGAGCCACAGAAGACGTCGTTTGCTTTTCTTCCATACTTCAGGTTAGGAGGTAGTAAAATGTTATTCATTTTGTTACTCATTTCTTCTTCTTTTTATTTGGCAGTTATGCCTTGATTTTTTGTTTACCAGTTAGTCAACCAAACATTCCCAAATACGGGACTGTTTGTGCTCATTGAAAACAGGCAAAACTCAACATATGTCATGTGACTTTAAGCAAATTGTTCAACCTCTCAAAATGTCATGTTGCTCACCTCTAAAAATGGGGATAATATAGAGTCTTACTTCATAAAGTTTCTATGTGTGATTAAAAGACATAAAGCTGACATAGAATTTAGCACCGTGCCTCAGATATAGTGTTCAGCAGTAGCTGTGGTTGTCATTCTTGTTGTTATGGAGTTCTAAATATTTGCAGTTGTTGTATAATTAATTTTTCTACTTGACCATGTATATAAACTCTGTGAAGTAATTGATAACACCATCAAAATGAGAGTCAGCCAGACCCTGACAAGATCATGCTTTTTAGAAGAATGTTAACACTGAAAATATGGTGACCCCCCCAATAACTAATTTTAAATAAAAACAATCCTTTTAAAACACTAAACTTACATGCATGCTGAAGTCAGAGGCTCATATCTGGAAAAAGAAATCCTGCTTTGTTGGTTCTCTAAACACCTGTATACTTGCCCTAACATGTAACCCAGCCATGCAATTAGCAATCTGCAATGTTGATGTGCTCATAAATTAGAGCCGAAGGCCCTATAGGCATGGCTAGTATCTTGCAGGAATTGTATAAATGGGCCAAATGCGTAAGGACTGTGAGTCAACAGGAGCAAGGAATGTAACTGATTGAATGCTAAAATCATAAAATGTTTTTTTTTTTGGAGGGGGAGTTTCAAACGTTTTCCCACATGAATATAACTCAGATTTGATAATTGAAGTTAATGGGGGAAGTAGATTCAGTACATATTTTTAGAAATGAATGTACGGCAGGTCAAACTGAATGGCATTAATTCAGAGAAATGTTACGTGACTGTCATATTGTTATGCATGTGAGGCTAGAGGAACAGGTCTAAAGGACAAGGTGCTTGACTTATTGACCTCAGAATTAACAAATGTATTTGAAGTAGAATTCAATATTGCATACGACTATGAAATAGCCCATCAGCAGATGAAAATTAGCCTGCTGCAAAAGGAGCCATGGGCTAGAATTGCAACTGATCTCAATGGAATATGGAATGAGTTGATTCCATGGAAAATGTTTGCCTCTAGTGGAACAATAGACAAGACCCAGTGGAAATAACCTTTTGGACCTATATCACAGTAAAAGCTCCATGTATCTCAACTCAGCAGACTACTAGATAACTGTGGGGGCTGAGTGGTGGAGTGAGAGAGCACTGGCTTGGGAGTCAGGGCCAAAGTTTGAGTTCAAGTGCTATTCCTGACTAAAGTGTTACTCACTGGCCATGTGATTTATTTTGTCATTATTATTAGTTTTATAATTCCTTAACTCTCACTAAATGCAATTACCTCATCTTTAAAAAGGATAATAATCATCTCCAATCAAGTTGCTGCAGAAATTACTGATGATGCTGAAAACCACTGAGCACTGGGCTTAGCACACAGTGAGGAGCTGGATAAACATTACTCCCGATTCTTCTTTTTTATCAATCGAAGATTCTTATTTGAAAATTTTAGTTACATTCTTTTAAAAAAATTAGAATGATTGTAATTGATTGAATGCAGAGAGATATATTTATCAAAAACCAATTATAAGGAAGGTTTTACTCAACTGGAAAAACCTCATCTTTTATAGGCCTATAAGACAACTGTCCAGATTATTTTGACACATGCTGAATTATTTTTTAGACAGGAATATTTTAGTAGCAGAGTGGATTGACAAAGTTAAGAAAAACAGCACTTAATGAATGTAAATGAGCATTAGGTTCTTAGTATTCTCCTGTCTCTGCTACTGATTAGCTGTTTGACTTCTTGGAAATCATAAAACCTCTCTAAGTCTCTTGCAAGATAAAGGGGGTTGCACAGTGTGACTTCTAAAACTTTTCCATATGCTCTAAACCTGAGCTGCCCAGTATGGTAGACACTAGCCACAAGTGACCACTGAGCACTTACAATATGACTAGAAACTCAGATGTGCTTTAAATGTAAGATACACACTAGGTTTCAAAGACTGTAGGAAAAAGCTAACATAAAATATCTCATTGATAATTTTTTCATTTTGATTGAGTGTTACAAAGATATTATTTTCGATATACTTTGTTAAATAAAATATTAAAATGACTTTTGCTTTTTTCCCTTTAACGTGGCTTCTAGGACATTTTAAATGACATGTGGCTTGCATTTATGACTGCATTCTATTTTTATCGGACAGTGCTGCCTTCTGAGTTTATGAAATAAATTTTAATACAGGTTTCAATTAAATTGTACACAGAGCTGGGTTTCAGATCTGCTGGCAAATTTCTAATAAGCTGATAGAGCTGGTGGCTCCCACCCATCTGATGGACGCTGTCGACTTGCATCATAGAGTCCAATTGAGACAGGCAGAGACTGCAGCCAGAATCCGATGGGGCAAGCTGGTGGAGAGAGAATCTGGGAGGGGGACCTGTGATATTCCGTTGGTGGTTGGGGAATAAAGCTGGACACACAGAAGGGAAGAGAGATATCAGCTCACCTGTGAATGGAGCACGACACCACTATGAACTACCATCAGTTGGCAACTTAGGGAGCATGGAAGATGGCCCACTGGGAAGAACTGTGGTGTCCTCACGGCCGATATCCACAACAAGCACTTCTCAGGTGTTGGTTTGGAGGGGCAAAATGAGAGTACAGAGTGAGCTTCATGGTGAATGGTTCTTTCTCTTCTTTGATAAGATCAGCTGGACTTCCATGACTCTCACTTTTTCTAATCTCCCTGGAGATAACACATGATAATATATATAACCAGTCTTTGGTATAGGCAGGGTAACACTACCCTATATGGTGCATAAATAGTCATGGGACAGTTAGTGTCAGGCTCTGTCCTAGGCTCTGGAACCCAGAATTGAACACAACAGATCTCTTTCTGTAAGGAGGATACTGACAATAAACCATTACAAAAACAAATAAACTGAATAAACACATAGCTAAATTAAAAAAAAAATTCTGCTACTAATAATGGCTAAGAAAAAGGTAAAATTAGGTAAATGTGATAGAGTTGCTGGGAGGGCTGCTTTAGCAAAGTGATCAGGGAAGCTTGTCTGAGAAGGTAACACTGAAATTGAGACACAGCTGATGAGAAAGGGACAACCAGAGGGTGCTTCTTTGAATGGTTTTGATTAAGACCTCATGGTGAGTAGGAGGGACTTCATAAAAAAGTGTTTAAATTACCATTAACTAGATAGTTGGAAGCTCAACCATAATTTGTTTGTTTTAGAAAAATAAACATCACTTTTAAAATATAGCATTGTGGAGTATAATCCATACCTGCTCTACAACTCTACTTTTACTCTATTTAGAAAAACAAAACAAAACAAAACAAAAAACCCAGCAAGATTGGATAAGTATAAGAAATGATGAAAATGCAAAGCCTTAAACATAGGGACTGCTTTTGACCAAGATGACACAGCCAGGAGGTAACAAAGCTGGAAACCGGGAGAGTTCTTTATTCCATGTTTTGTGCTCTTTCAATGATTTTGGAGCCTTTTGCTATGTACTTCCTGATTCAATAGGGATCACAAACCCAGAAGCCAACAGCAGGCACGAGCTCCTTCAAATAAACAGCCTTTTTTGCACATTTTTGAAACCATTTTTTCAGGGTTTCCCTGGTCTTTTTCTTCTTTGAAAAAAATGGAATTTTTCTCCTGGTCCCTAAGACATATTCGTGTTTATTCTGCTCAAAGAATCTGAGATTTGAGTTCCACTTTTAAAATATACTACCACTAGAGGGAGCTCAAACTTTTTTTTCCTGAGGTTCTATGAAGTAACAATTGAAAATATTATCCTATGACATTTTGGGTTACTTTTCCTGCTGAGATTGCCTACATGGCTTGATTTTTGTTGAGGATTGTTTCACTAACTAAAAACAGACAGAAACTCCCCTAAAAACAGGCTCTGAGCACGTTGTATAGATTCACTCATGCTGTCCTCACACCACCAGTCTTTGAGGTGGTAGGAAGGGTCCCCTGTCTTGCCCATAAGGTAGTGTAGGCAGAGGGGCTGTAGCAACAAGGATAACAGCACTGGAGCTGGGCCAGTCTCATCTCCTAGGTTATGCCAGATGGTTATGGCACAGGTTTCATGGCCTGATTTTAGCGTTATAGCTTCCCCTTCCCAGTCTCCTCTTTCTTTCCTCCTCCCTTGCACTTTCCTCCCCCTCCTCCCTTCCTTTTCCTCCATCACCATCTCACAGCTACTTATTGATGTGTCTATTTACCCTGTTAGAGTTTGAGCTTGTGAAAGCCAGAGGCCAAAACTTGTCACTATGCCAGCTCTGGGTTATCCAAATAGCACAGCGGGGGGTGCTATGGCTCCATGGTGAAGAGCACGGACTCTGGAGTCCAAGGTCCATGTGGCATCTCAGCTCTGCCACATATTAACCTCGTGACCTGGGGAAAGACACACTGTCTCATAGCTTTAATGTGCACCCCTGTAAGTACCTGGAGAGCACTTTCCCCATGAAGCTTGCTGAAGGGTGGTTGAGGTAAAGTCTGTGAAGTACTACTCCATGCAGGGTCTGGCATGTGGCATTCCATGTGATGGAAATTGTTATAGTAGACATTTGATATGGATGAATCATGTTGAATTGACATTCTGGGGATTCGAACTGTGTCATAGCTCAGTTTTCAAGCCAGTTTTTTAAGTTTTTTTTTGTTGTTATTGTTAATGCCTGCCTAGCTAAATTGTTAATATTTTACTTTCTATTATCTTTAGAATAAGGAAAGTTTAAAACTCGATGACTAGCATTGATAATATGGGCCTTGACTTTGATATGCACTTCTAATCTTGGTAAGTACTCTGAGTATTTACACAAAATACACAAAAATACAGATTTTTAATAACTGGATCTTAATTTTATATACAGTATAGTATAGATCCAATTTTATATTCAGATGAGCAGGTAAATTTACAGTGCAACTACGAGACTATTAACCTTGAACTGTTTTTCTTATATCTGATGAATACCTCTGAGTCTCCTATTAATGTATGCTAACATAATTTGCACAATATCTCCGAAAAAAATATTTTCTGTTAAAGCTGATTCTTTTATTGTTGTTGTAGGCTTTATTTGTAGAGGAAGTTTTACATTGAAGAAAGTGAAAATATCATAAATTTAAGATTAGACATTTTCTGTCTTCAAATTTCTTCTACCCCCAACCCCTACTACTAGGAATTGAACAAATTTCTCAGTGAGTCCCAGCCTTCTGCCAGACTGATTCTTTAACACACAATTATATCTTAATTTGCTTCTCTAAGACACAGTTACACCTTCATTTTTTCTAACAGTTTTTCAGAACAATTTAATTTTCCACTCCCTGATTCATTTCCAGGCATACTGCTTAGAAACAAAAACTAATTGAGGAACTTTGCTGAAAAAGTGTCATCTGCCCTGGATCTTACCCTTTAACAATACAGAAGAAGTAGTAAGTAAAAAATAGGAAATCTTACGTTCTCTTATTCATAGTAAGTAGAAGGAACCAGGGTGGAGATTTTTTTCCCATTAATATGATTTATGCACTTTATCCAAACTTTATTTATTTATTTATTTTTGAGATTTTTATTAAAAATATAGCCAACATACAATATAATAGTAGTTTCAGAGGTATACCATAGTTATTCAACATTTATATACATAAAGAAGTGATCACCATGATAAGCCCATCTGACTATGTACCATGGTCTCACAATATTATTGACTATGTTCCCCATGCTGTACGTTACATCCCCATGACTTACTGGTTTTATATCTGGAAATTTGAACCTCTTATTCCCCTTCACCTTTTCCCCCCTTTAAAAATTTTTCAATTACAGTTGACCGTCAATATTATTTTATATTAATTACCCCGTTACTTAGCAAAAGCCTCAGAGCACACTGAGACCAGTCACAGCCCTTGTGTGGCCCACAGACCCTGATAGTTTTCTAAGAAAGAGTTCAATGTGGGCAAGGCTGGCTGCTCTGGAGAACATGCCTCCAGCGTTGGGGAACTTGGGTGGGGTGGGGTCCCAGCAGAGCTCACTAGGCCAATCAGATTCAGATTTGGCCATGAGAGGGCGGGCTCAACACAGAAAAGATGGCGCCCACCAGCTGGCTGCAAAAGAAGGAGTTCCCTACATAGGTAAAATGTTGATTGTTATACAGCCCTCATTCTGAAGCCATGCACATCAGTGTGTCCCCCTTATGCTTCCAACGGCCCCTGAGTCACCATCCCTTTGCTGGAACCTAGGGTGAGTGCCTGGGAGTGAGAGAGTCTGTGTGCGGGCTGTTTAAGAGGGCATCTGTGTTTCCTGCAGCCTTCTGTCCCAACCAGATGGTCAGAATTCCCATTGTTTTTCACAGCCAGATGTGGGGACCCCTCTTCACAGCACAAGTACTCTGGGCTGGGGAGTTTGGTGTGGGTCTGGGGTCCCTTGCTTCTCTGGTGGGAATCTCTATGGCCGAGATATCCCTTCTGATTCTCAGCTGCCACACAGAGGTTTGAGGGCCATTTCGCATCTCTGCTCTGCCTACCAGTCTGGATGTGACTTCTTTATATTCTTAATTATAAAACTTCTGTTCAGCTAGACTTCAGATGTTTCTACAGGTTTGTAGTTCTGTAATTTAGTTGTAATTTTAATGTGTTCATGGAAGGAAGCAGGCCCAGTGTTTTTCTGCTCCACCATCTTGGGTCTCCTCCAAAGCTGATTCTTTGTTCTCTAATTGGTTTAAGTTTAAAAATATAGAGATCATGTGTAGTTATTTTATCAAAGGTTGTACATCAGGGTTATAATCGAGAATCTAACCTTCAATTACAGTATTTTATTTATGGGAAATTTGATTGGTTTTGCATAATTTTGGCTTACAAGAAAGTGGCCAGTCCCAAACAAAATTATACTCTATTCTTCTGTGAATTGTATCATTCATTAATTTAACATATTTTTATTGCATATCTACTATGGGCCAGACACTGTTCTAGTTATGGCGTGCTTCCACTTTGAAAACAAAAGAGACCACAATAGTAATGTTTTCTTGCTCACTAATTGAAATCAAGTGAAAAGATGAATAATCAGAACAGGTAAATTAAGGTAGTTGGCAGCTTAGATATCTTAATAGTTTACAAAAAAAACAACAAAAAAACAAATGAAAATTAGTCTAAGAGGCTTCTGAGTGTGGGTCTTCTCATGTTCCCTTTGGCCTGTCCCACTTTAGATCTAAGCACTCACACTTACTGCTGTCACTTGGTGGCAACCCACCATCTCCTCAGGCACTGACTGCTGCATGAGTTGGGTGGGGACACAAGAGTGACCTCTTGGCCTGTTCCCCTGTGCCCAGTCTGCCTCCTGGCTTTTACTTCTGGATTTAGATTATTATAGGGTTTCCAAATTTCCAACAAATACTAATCTTTGAGATTAAGGAACAAAGAATCAGAATTCCCAGGAATTCTCAGGAATTCTTGAAAAGTTGTTATTTAATACTTTAAAAAATACTTTATTTACATATTTTAATAACTAGTTAGTGATCAAAATAATTAAAAAAAATTATTTTCTCCCTTAGACTTTTATAAAAGTTCAGAGATTTTCTTTATTATTATTATGAACCAATATATTGGATCAAAATTACATATTTTAATGACATGTAAAATGATTGCTACCTGATATTGACATTTTATAATAGAAAAATTGAAAGAAAGAAACATAAAAACGAAAGTCAAATAAAAATCATTTAAAAATATGTAGTTAATGTCTGAAAGGTAACAATGTTGAATTTTAAAGTATACAAGCATTAGTTGTTCTATTTGATACTATTAATCTTTATTTCATAACAAAAATTGCTTTTATTCCACATTGAAGTTTGCTCACTTACCCAAAACTCTAACTTGAGTATTAGGTTACATATTGCTTCATATAAGCTTATTTCCTTTTTAATCAGTTTTGGTTTGAGTGTTGTTGTAGAAATCAATATTGCTTTTACTGGTTGAAATTTTGGATCAGTTTCTGATTTCCCAAGGGAGCATTCTCCAATATAATATTCACATCTTGTCCTTGCATTTTCTGTCTTAAGGCATTTACAAAGAACCGTAGCCTAGACCATATATTCAGACACTGGAAAATGCCAGAAAATACTGTTAGGCAGTAGTTGAGTTACATAACATAGGATCTGCTAGCAAGATTCATAGTACTGCACAGAATCACTAGTTGAAGTTGCTCATTTAAGAACATATTTTACTTTTTGAATTTGTTACTGCTTTGTACCCCATTCACAGGATAAAATAATTGAGGATAATATGAGGATAAAATCATTGGCGTTTACTTTATTTGCAATAATAACTCACTTAAGTCAATGGAATTGTAATAGATAAATATGATATCGGGGGTGGGAGGGCAGTGGATAGGGGGAGGGGAGTTGTTACTTTGAGAATGGTGAAAAGGATAAATAACTATTGCATTGTTTTGTACACCTGAAACTAATAAAAAAAAAGAATAACTCACTTAGCAGCAGACACCCACTTGTAACATGACAACTACTGCACAGCAAGCTGATTGATTAGATCCTTCTTGCTTCTCTCCTCCTAAGTTCCTAGAGATGTTAGCCTTAACTTTCAGACCCCAAATGTCTTGCTTTCAACTAGATATCAGTGAATTTCTTGAAGCCAGTAATGTCTGCATGTTGACTGTTAACCTCACAGAAAAATTAGGCAGTATTTCCCTTTTTCTTGATTTCTCTTGAGATTCTGATGAACAAAAATGTCCTGTGACATAACAGGAAAGAATTTCCTGAAATACTAGTGTAAGATACCTTGAACACTGTTCCTACCTTTTTGCTGGAACTTTCTCTTGCTTCTCTTGTTATACAAGTTTCCTTCTATGTTGGCCTTTTATATTTCAAGGATTTCTCACAATATCTTATTTATTCTAAGTTATTTCTTCTTTTTAGTATTCAACATGGCTGACTATCCTTTAAAATACATTTTCTGTTATTTCTAGGGGTTTGGTGTGAGACAGAAAGGGTGTATCTATTCTACTATCCTGTAATTAGAGTTTAGCATTTTCACTTTCAGACTTCATCACTACAGTAAAGAGATAAGTAGATCCTTTTTATAAATAGTGTTGGAGATGAAGGAGATTCCTCCTGCTTTAGAGACAAATGGTGCTACATTGAGCTATTCCTGTAGCTAGTGCCTGAGAAGTAATTTGATCAGCAGTGGTTTAATTTTCATATTTTATCTTTATTAATATGAACTATTTCACCACAATAACTGCTTTAATATATTAATCAGTATTTTCTAATTAAATGTAATACTCCATTATACTATGTTATAGAAATGACAGGCTATCCAATTAGACAGAGTTTGGCTAGTATCCAAGCCCTTAGCCTGTGCTCATCAGGGTTCTCCAGAGAAACAAAACAGAACCAATAGGATATATACAGTGTGGGTATGTGTGTGTATGTGTGTGTGTATGTGTCTGTGTGTGTGTAATTGGCTCACATGATTATGGAGGCTGACATGTCTCAAGATCTGCAGTCTGCAAACTGGAGACTTAGGAGAGCCAATGATGCATTTCCAGTCTGAGCCAGAAGTCCTGAGAACCAGAGAACCAGTGATGTAGTTCCCATCCAAAAGCTGGTAGGCTTGAGACCCAGGAAGAGCTAATGTTTCAGTTCTGATCTGAAGGAAGGTAACAGATACCCCAGCTCAAGGCAGTCAGGCAGGAGTGGTTCCCATTACTTGCAGGAGGATAGAGCTTTTAGTTCTATTCCAGCCTTCAACTGATTAGATGAGCTCCACAAACATTAAGGAAGCCAGTCTGCT